ACAGTGAGACAAATGGCTTGACCACTCAACCACTTACGTCCCCCCCCACGCCCACCCCCCCCCCCCCCCCCCTCTGCTTCCCAGCCCTCCACTTTGTGTTTGCATGTGTGTGGCAGTATAAATGTGCATATATGTGGAAACACGATCATGATAAATGTAAGTGCATTCACAAGAATATCAATAACAAAATTAATAAAAACACATCCCAGTAACAAAATGCAAATTAACACTGGAGGTAGTCATCCGCCACTTATCACCAATTCTTCCCGTTATGGATGAGTTTCCTCCATTACTTCTTCACCGACTCTCCTACAAACTCAACCCACCCCCCCCCCCCCTTTACCCCCACCCCTTGTCCTCCCACTCTCTTCTCCCTGATCTTAAAGTCCTTGTCAGTATGTTTTGACATGTGAAGTTCACATTAGCATATGATTATGGTGTTCACGTTTCATTGGTAAACAAACGAGCATCAGCCGGAACTATGAAACATAAACTCACCGATACAGATAAGCCTCACTGACATTTTACCAAACACAAAATGAAAACTGTAAGAAATCACAGTCACAAAATACACCAGGTGATAAGTCTTCTGAGAATCACATCCTCCTTATGTTTGAGGAAGTATGAGTCTGATCTTGACTATCCATCAGTAAGAAATCTGCTGTTTCATTAGGAACTTCTGGTAGACATCCAAAATTCCAAAGAAACTCAGCCCATGCGCTTTACAGATCTCAGATAAACGTTTCCAAACCTACAATAATAATTAAATGATTTTTTTACAATGTAAGTGTTCTCTATCACTTTCGCTGAAGCCTAACGAAGCGAGCTCCTGATTTGTCACTCCGGATAGAACTCCACTTAAAGTATATGTCCCCACAAGTTGTCAGATCAGAGATTGAACTGGTTTCTGTAAGCATTAGTGAGGTCACGTAAGAAGGGCGTATATGAACGTCAATGTCACGACAAGCGACAAACAATTGACTGTTTCCGCTCTGGAGGTTGAATTGGATGCCTTTTGGCTATCTGCCACTAGTGACTCTAACCCATCAGAGCCGGTTCCTGTGAACAGATATAATAGTTCTGTAATAAACACGTTTACAGTACTGAAACAATATGTAAATAAGAGAGTGAATAAAATCAGAGAATGGGCATTGGAATGGAAAACAGATAAGGTAAGTCTAGACGTTTTCGAGCAACGCTGCAAAGAAAGTTGACCAGAGAGATCTCATGTTAAGGGGCTGATTTCATACAGGTTTATCTGCACAGGACATAATATAATTGAGGAATTAGCTGCGAGGTATATGTGGAGTACAAACACCACAAAAGTATAAAGAATGCAGGTAACAATGCGCACCATTAGAGAGGTAGAAATCTAATTCCTTCTTGAAAAAGAAAAACAAAAAAGAAAACAATCAAACTCATTCAGTATCAAACTTCCTCTACTTCTTCTTCCTCTTCTTCTTCTTCTTCTTCTTCTTCTTCTTCTTCTTTCAGGAATGAGTCTGGAGGCGAGGATTCTTCTTCTTCTTCTTCTTCTTTCTTCTTCTTCTTCTTCTTCTTCTTCTTCTTTCTTCTTCTTTTCTTTTTCTTCTTCTTCTTCTTCTTCTTCTTCTTCTTCTTCTTCTTCTTCTTCTTCTTCTTCTTCTTCTTCTTCTTCTTCTTCTTCTTCTTCTTCTTCTTCTTCTTCTTCTTCTTCTTCTTCTTCTTCTTCTTCTTCTTCTTCTTCTTCTTCTTCTTCTTTCTTCTTCTTCACCAGCTGTAAACTCTAGTCATGTTCCAGAAAATAAGTGTTGGCTTATTTGTTGTGCATACTCTTAGTTCCTTGCCGCTCAGGCAGATGTACTCCGACCTCAAAGGATCTCCCCAATTAGTCGAATCCTACGTCATAACAATGGGTCAATTATTGTTTTCCCCACAATAGGGCGCCGGAACCCACACGGGGATTTCAGAACTAACTAAACGACTTATTATACATTTCTTGATGTTTTACAAAAGATAATATAATGTTTATGCTGACTTCTGTCAGAAAGATTAGTTATATTAACTATTGGTAAATCAATTATTAGTTTTACCTCCTAATACCTATCGCGTCTCTGTTCTATTATTCCAAACCCACATATTTTTTGCTTTAAGCTCAACGGTTTCATATAAAAAGAGCTAAAGTAACTACTGCTTGGGACTGACAAGTTATTTGGACTAGCCTGGTTAAGGTTACATAACAGACACGGCCTTGTTGTACTAGTCTATCTAATGAAAGCTAAGGACTGTTGGCTGTCAGTAAAGCCATAAGAAGCGACTATGGATATATGGCCGGTGATTGGGTAGCTCATGTTGTAAATAAAACATTAGATGTAAACATGCATACAGTTGTGAGCTAGCTTAAATTAAAAAAAAAAATAAAAAAAAAAAAAGAAAAAAAAAGGGGGTGGGGGGGGGGGGGGAGGCCAAAATAAGAATATGGGTACATTGGATAAAATGGAAAGATGATGAGCAGATAGAATAAAAAGATAGGATGATGATTACGACGGCGACGACGAAAAAAGAAGAAGAAGAAGAAGAAGAAGAAGAAGAAGAAGAAGAAGAAGAAGAAGAGAAGAAGAAAGAAGAAGAAGAAGAAGAAGAAGAAGAAGAAGAAGAGGAAGAAGAGGAGGAAAAGAAGAAGAAGAAGAGAAGAAGAAGAAGAAGAAGAAGAAGAAGAAGAAGAAGAAGAAGAAGAAGAAGAAGAAGAAGAAGAAGAAGAAGAAGAGAAGAAGAAGAAGAAGAAAGAAGAAGAAGAAGAAGAAGAAGAAGAAGAAGAAGAAGAAGAAGAAGAAGAAGAAGAAGAAGAAGAAGAAGAAGAAGAAGAAAAAGAAGAAGAAGAAGAAGAAGAAGAAGAAGAAGAAGAAGAAGAAGAAGAAGAAGAAGAAGAAGAAGAAGAAGAAGAAGAAGAAGAAGAAGAAGAAGAAGAAGAAGAATTAGAAGGGGCTGGGGTGGTAGAAGGAGGAAAAACTTAAATGATACCATTATAGAATTAATATACGATGGTAGTGGCATTTATATAATAAGCCGTATACAATAAAGTTGCAAATGTGCCTATTTACTTACCCCGCCGTTTATTGAAGGAATCAGCTGGAATAGAAAGTAAAATAATTAAAACAGATTACATCAAGCCAGACATATAGCAAATTTATTATTCCTTTTCTTCTTCATTCACTTTTTCTCAGATAATAACACATATAATTATACCAGAGCCTTAATGAAGGATGCCGTAGAGTCCAGACCTGCCTGGTACCATAAAGCTTGTACTCGACTGAGGTAAGAATAGGCCAGATGAAATTCTCTGTTAGAGACATAAGGTTCACCGTGTCAGATGTACATGCCCAGCATTTTCAGGCGCCAGGGTGCAGGGGCACATCTCGATGTTTCCTACGCACAGAAAAACGTATACATGTTTTTCTATAAATAGAAGAAACTGCTAGTACAGAATAGTGATAATATGGCGATCTGTCGAAGCCTTTGACTGCTTCTGGTAATTCTGATGATGCAATTTTCTCATATCTGGACTTGAAAGTGCATAGTTACATTGTACTGCTAATGAGCTGAGCGACACTGAGCTGCTGAGTTCATGCGAGGCAGAATTTATGGTGCCTTATGCAAGTGATTGCGTGTGCACTATCTGATATGTTGTAACTGGCACTTCTATAGATGACGAACCGCCTTTCTATTGTTGGGCTGTTTATGTTGGCAGTTATGACAGCTGCCTGATGCGTATGTATGCTATTGGCTCAGAAAACTAGAGTATGTGTAAACTATTTCACAAGGGACAGTGATAAGTATCATATGTGTGTGTGATGTGTGTATGTGTGATGTGTGTGTGTTTGTGTGTGTGCGTTTTCACGTTTTCACAGGAACAGAGCAAGGATGTGGCGACCCACTAGCTGTGATGCTGGAACTGTAGTTACCTGATTACCTAACTGAGTATTGCACGAGGCATTCTTTCGTGTTGTCTGAGAGAATGTGTCACATTATTTAATGAATTCCATCGGGTTATATGACAGAGGCCATGATATTATTTGACAAAAGCTGTCAAACATACATATCAGAGTGTAGGATACAGGTTACTTGAAAATGTGCCTATAGCTTTTAGATTATATGACAACAACTATCATATTATCTGGCAAAGAGAGTCAGATTACTTGAAAAAGACTATCTTATCATAGTATAAGACAAAGGCTAACCGATTATTTTACACAGATTATCTTGAAATATTGACTGACAAAGGCTAGGTTACATGACATAGACTATATCATATTATATGACAAAGGCTATATGATCATATTCACATGACAGAGACTATCACACTAAAACCTCAAAGACTACATTGTCATATAGTACGACGAAATGTACTTGATTATTTGACAAATGCTGCCATATTAGACGACACAGACTATCTTATCCTATTATATCACAACTATCTTCTTCTTCTTCAGCGATCTCTGGTCATGCGCATAATCCACTGTGGGTCATAAACTGGGATGTAATCACAACTATCAAAAAAGCTATTTTATTATCATATGACAAGAGCTAAATTATCATATAAAAGGGATCCACATTAGGCACAAAGCGCAATATTATCAAAATATATCACACAATTTATCGCAAAGACTATTTAATTATTTTACGAACAACGATGTATGATTAAATAAAAGAGACTACCACATTAGACAGCAAAGTAGTTGGTTAAACTGATCTTGCTGTGACCGGGTGACGAACTCCTTGTGGTCTGTCTGGGTGCACTCCCAGGGGTAGGCATAAAAGCCACATTTTCCCCAGATTTAGGGTACCTATCGTGGACTCAAGGCCGAAGGGTTGCAATATCCATAGTACCGAGCCAAACGGTTAACAACTCATGGTCTCTGGATATTAAAAAAAACGAAAAAAAAAACAAAAAAAAACAAAACAAAAACGGCAAAGAATATAAAATTATATGTCAAAAGCTATCAGACAATGTGGCAACTTACTGTTCAATACAATGACCTTCATGCTCTCCACGTGATGTTGAGAAAACCTGCAGACGTAGGTCCCAGCATCCTCCATGCCGACCCGCTCAATCTCCAGTCTGCTGTGAAGGACATTCGTCTCACTGACTAGGTATTCAGTCACCAAAGTCCGACCTCCAGCTTTGACCCTTGTCCCGTCCTTGAACCAGTCGACCCCCTTAGGACGGTAGTCTATATCTGTGGCTGTACAGTTGAGATCTATGGTGGTGCCTTTTTCCACATACTGTGTTCCAGACAGTTTGATTCCTGGAAAAGAAAGAAAAGGAACATGTTTCCTCTATACCTAAGCCTTAACTGAAAGAGACATTTCACAGAGTGAAGAATATACTTTGCTATATATTTTCAAACGGTTGTGAATCCTGGACAATTAATAAGCAAGCCGAATAAATTCTATAGGTCTCGGAGAAGTTGTTTTACTGCAGAATCCTTAGAATTCTTTGGACAGCTAAAAAGAGCAACTCAGATGTTTTGAAAGAAGCCATGGCTCGAAGACAAGTTATCACAAACAACAAAATAATTTGCGGTCATGCTATGAGAAAAGTGGAACAAAACATAATGTGACCCACTGGAAAGGTCTGTGGGAAAAAAGAGTTAGAAGAAGACAGCGCGAGAAGATTCTAGACAGCCTTTTGTCATGGCATGGAGGCGTGCCAACACAGGGTACAAACAGCTGCAGATCGCGGATTGTGGAGTGGCCTGATCGCCCATGACAGTCTGCAAGGCACTTGAGGATAATGATACATCTTTAATCTTAACTTACTGAATAAGGAATCGACATCAAAACATTCGGGACACTTCCATGATCACTCCTTCCCCATCTTCAGCAGCAAGCCCACACTTCCAAATCCAGTGGCACCAGTAACATTCTGACTGTATATCCGTCCCGCCTTTCACTTGAGTGTTTAGCGTCGGCCAGATTCCCTGCTCACTCCTCGCAGGACCATTCTTCCCAGACCGTGATGATCATAATTGGCACATATATCTATATTAACTAAAAGTGTAAATGTTCCTTTGCTCCAAATTTTAGATTCTTCAGCTATTGCTTTGAAACTTTGACACAACTGCGTTCGAATAGGCGCGTGTTTTTATATATCTACTATTATATAGATGTCATAAACATATTAGAAAGTGCGGTTCTTTATCAATATCTTACCCCCTAGATGACGTCACAGGACAGTCCATCATTGTAGACGGTGGTAAGACTAGGTTTCCAGGCTTTCTGGTGCTTTTAACGACCCCAAAACATGTAGAACAGGCCCTAACCCCAACCCACCTAAGTCCCACGAGAGAGTGCAGCCTAGGTCCCACGACTGCATGCAGCCTATCTACCACCCCCCGAAATATTAGACTTTCCCGTGACCTGTGGATTTTCCTGTTTGGGGTAGGATATTAATGAAGCACCGAGAAAGTACGCTTACTAAAACATATACTGTTCTCCATCATATTTAGGTATACCATCAGCCAATACTAACAGCGTGTGCATCGTCATTGTGCATTACGTAGTGATCACATGACCATGCATTTCCTAATGACTGTTAGGGGCCAGTGGTAAACCCTCAATTGTAATCAAATTAGACCATTTCGCATACAACAGTCCCATTTCCATGTTTGCGATTGCGTTGTTACATAGTCATATGTAATTAGATTTCGATTTTTTTCATTTTGATTTAACTATTTTGTGTGTCACTGCGTTGGAATAAAGCTGTGTTCGTTTACCATAGCCACATCAATCAGCCAAAATTTTGCAACGGCACGCGGCTTGCAGTAACAAATTTAATGAGCAATGTCGTGGAAGCAGCAATGTTGACAAGACCTTTTAAAGGCGAAGATGTTTTCATTCTTTGCATTCCTTTGATTCCAACGGAGATGCCATTTAATTTTAAGAAGAGGCATACTGGGTCTTGTCTGCAAGGAATTAAACTTTCAAGTCCTGTCATGAATACTAGGCGCAGGATTAAGTAAGATTCGTAGAGTAGTACTAAGCAAGCGGTATGGACAACAACTGTTGATCCTTACGAACATCTATCCCTACGATATGTAAGTGGAAACACGAACCTCTAATGAAAGGACGCTTGGTGCTTTTCGAAGTGTGGTTCTCCGTTAGTTTAGGACGAATATCTTGGATTTGAAAACATAAGACAAATAACGTTGTCAAAAATACAAATAAATACACGAATGCAGTGATGAAAGAATCGCAATTTGAAAAACATGATAATTTCGTTACATTAACAGACAATATTTGGTAGGGAGGTGTAGAGGTAGGCACTCAGTGAAGAATAATTTTGTGGCGCTAAATGATACAAGTAGAGCAGTAACTAGATACTTTCCCTGCTAACACAAAAAGCGTGGGGTCGAATCTACACCGAGGAGATTTGTAAACACAAATAGTGGACTTTGTTCTCGGGTCGAGGTAGAATAAGGTGATCACTCACTTGGTAATGTCATAGGAAGTAAAGATGGCCGGCCAGGTATGGACCACATCGCCCATAGAATGTCCATTAGTCTATAACCTTGTGCCCTAACCGCCTCAAGGCGGAAATTACTTACTTAACTTATATAGCCTTTGGGCGTGTACTGCAACGACCAGTGGACCCTTTCACTCCATTTCCGAGGAGATAGAACATGGACGTGACTGATGATGATGACGACGATGTTGAGTATTGTCGCATTTAGCGATATTTTACTTGTCAACCAACATAAAACCATGACCCTATGACACTAACATTAGCAACACTAGACGAGGCATCTAGCGGTTATGTTATTATGCAACGACCATGGTGCCACTAAGGCGGGCGGTACATTTGCATTCAGCTTAATGTTACTAGTGAGAGTTGCCGTGGCGTTGGCGGCTAGACGCCGGTCTGCGGATCGGAAGGTCGTTGGTTCGCGCCATGGGTCAAACATGGTTTTGACTCCTAGGTCGATCCCAGACTTGAGTGGGTACTAGGTGCATTCCTAGAAAGTAAAGGTGGCCGGCGTGATGCTGACCATTTCACCGACCAAGTGCTGTTTAAATATAGGTCTAGCCCTATATTCCCAATACACTTAAAGGCGCGGAAAATGGATGTTTACTTTAGTGTTACAAGCATTACAGCTACCCGATTTCTTCATTTCTAGGCTTACTACTCTTCTCTAACTAGCGGTGTTATTGTTTTTGTTGGCGCACATGTGCTGCGACATGCATTAGACGTTTGCAGTCGCCTCATTACTGTAACTTCAGTTATTACTCTAGTGGTAACATGCACGCCAAAGTACTAATGACTGCAATGTGCAACTCTGCTCGCTGAAATTCTTCAATACGCAGTGACAATGATACTGTTGCATGAAAGCTGGACTGTGTTGGATATATGCTAATGTTGATATAGCAGTGGTAATGCTAAAGCCTGACTGCTATAGCTTTAGTAAAAGCTGCATTACCACGCCTTAAAGCTTATATGTCATAAGGGACCAATAAAAGTAAAGATCCTTTTTCACGCCAAAGGCGCATCGGGCATATGGAAAAAGCACCCATATTTTTTACAGACTAAGCACTAGGTGGGTAATGTGGTCAGTATTGCGCCGTCATTTGGGACCAATGCAACATTTATTAAGACAATGGCATTTATTTTAATTAGTATTGTCACTATCAAGTCATCAGTTGTTTCTTCCCAAAGCATTCACTGATACAAATTTAAGACTTAGAGAACAGTGACGCCTAAATTTATTCTCTTTAAGATTCCGACTCGGTGGCGCTCTAAGGTTTAAAGATTAGTGAAATCGTTTCAACAATGTACTTTTCACAGTTTTCAAGGGTTAGATTCACACAGTTGGCGGTTTAGAAAAAGTTATTCCTCGAGGCTTTTGAACTGTCGTATGAGAGTCGCAACCTGAAATTTCTTCAAAATGGGAGGGCATCTGCCTGATAGGTGAGGAACCAACAGTCTGCATTCAAATTAACTTGATTTGTAAAATGAAAGCTTACGCAAAACTCGGGTTCTGGAACAAGACTCTGGTCCATGACTGGACTAACAACTAGAATTATGAGCTGAAATTTACAGCCGAAATAGGAAGACGAAATGGAAGAAAGAGTACCCAGAAAGACACTATCTCCGTGTGAGTTCCAGTGCCTCTTTGTGGGTACAAACTAGAATAAACCCACTTTCCTAAAATCAGGAATCAACTAATTGCGGGCTTTCTTCAATGTTGAAGTCCATCTGTCTCAGAGGCAAGGAACCAACAGTCTGCATATAAATAGGCTAGTTCTGTAAAACCACGAAAGACATTGGCCGCTGTTAACTGATAGTTTCATGGTTAGAAGTGGATTCATTGCAGCCAAGAAGCGTAGTTCCTCCCCCGCCCCACTCCTTTTGATAGGGATTTAAACCTATTGCCAAAAAAACGCTGGTCAAGCGTGCTGGACTTTGCGTTACTATTGCTTGCAATAGCAACTAGCTAGTTTAGTTAACAGCCGCTGAAATAACTGCCAGTTACTGCCTTTGTTATACCACATTTGCAGTGTATGCAAAATAGGGGGGAGATGGAAAAAAGGGGGGGGGGGGGGGTGGAGGGGTCTTTGAGCTTGATGATATACGGCCGCACAGCTAGTGCTGTCGCCACATCTGTGCAGGTAAAGGTTTAATTTTGCCCCCTGAAGAAAAATTCCTCAGATTTACCGAGGATTCGAACCCGGGTCTCCCGCGTGAGAGCACAGCGTCCTAACGGTTCGACCAGCCGCTCCTCTAAGGAAATAACAGTGCTATTTTATCTGCAGCAAGCGAATGCCTTCACGTAATGACAAACGTCTTGAACAACATAAATATCACGACAAACAGGCAAATCCGCTTAATGAAAGGTTATTTCTGGTCCATTCTTCTGCATGGACGCTAGTGCTAGACAATGAGTAATGAAATGGCAAATAAACCTGGGAGATTGTGTTTCATTTTTTTTTTTAGAAGAATGTGGACAAAACCATGGCCAGAGATCAACGACTTTCCTGGACAGGGAATAATGCGGACAATATAATGGACAGTAAAAAATATCTGGACAGAGAAAAATACAGAAAGCACTGTGGACAAAGAATATGTAGAAAGTATCGTGGGATGAAAAAGAAAAATGTGAAACGGAAATTTTTATATACAGAAAGGTAAGTTAAAAGCGCTGTAGACAGAAAAATGTGTAAAGTATTGTGTGCACAGATAATGTGGAAAGTATTGTGTGCACAGATAAAGTGGAAAGTATTGTGTGCACAAATAATGTGGAACAGATAATATGGAAAGTATTGTGTGCACAGATAAAGTGGAAAGTATTGTGTACACAGATAAAGTTGAAAGTATTGTGTGCACAGATAAAGTTGAAAGTATTGTGTGCACAGATAATGTGGAAAGTATTGTGTGCACAGATAAAGTGGAAAGTTTTGTATGCACAGATAAAGTGGAAAGTATTGTATGCACAGATAAAATCGAAAGTATTGTGTGCACAGATAATGTGGAAAGTACTGTGTGCACAGATAATGTGGAAAGTATTGTGTGCACAGATACAGTTTAAAGTATTGTGTGCACATATAAATTGGAAAGTATTGTGTGCACAGATAATGTGTAAAGTATTGTGTGCACTGATAATGTGGAAAATATTGTGTGCGCAGATAATGTGTAAAGTTTTGTGTGCACAGATATTGTGTAAAGTATTGTGTGCACAGATAATAAGGAAAATATTGTGTGCACAGATAATGTGGAAAGTATTGTGTGCACAGATAATGTGTAAAGAATTGTGTGCACAGATAATGTGTAAAGTATTGTGTGCATAGATAAAGTGGAAAGTATTGTGTGCACAGATAATGTGTAAAGTATTGTGTGCACATATAATGTGGAAAGTATTGTGTGCACGGATGATGTGAAAAGTATTGTGTGTACAGATAATGTGGAACGTATTGTGTGTACAGATATTGTGGAAAGTATTGTGTGACATATAATGTTGAAACTATTGTGTGCATAGATAATGTGGAAAATATTGTATGCACAGATAATGTTAAAAGTATTGTGTGCACAGATAATGTGGAAAGTATTGTGTGCACAGATAATGTGGAAAGTATTGTGTGCACAGATAATGTGGAAAGTATTGTGTGCACAGATAATGTGGAAAGTTTTGTGTGCACAGATTATGTGTAAAGTATTGTGTGCACAGATAATGTGTAAAGTATTGTGTGCACAGATAATGTGGAAAGTATTGTGTGCACAGACAATGTGGAAAGTATTGTGTGCACAGATAATGTGTAAGGTTTTGTGTGCACAGATAATGTGGAAAGTATTATGTGCACAGATAATGTGGAAAGTATTGTGTGCACAGATAATGTGGAAAGTATCGTGACCTGAGAAAAATGTGGACATAGAAATAGAACGAACAATTGTGAGAATGGAAAAGAAAGGGGCATCAGTTTAAACAAAGACACTTATAGAAGGCAGAGCCAACAGAGAAGAATGGGAACACACGAATAGGCCAGAAAGAAAATTGTAAGGTACTGATGGCGCCTTTTAAATCAACAAACCACAATGACAAAAACGGAATTTGTGAGGTATCTTAAAGAAAAGGTTGAATCAAGATACATGCATTTTGTTGGGAAACATTAGACAGTGAAAGAAAAGGAAGACTGAAGGCAGTGGAGTGTGGGCATTTACACATCTAGAAAATAAATAATAATTTTAATAAAAAAAAAGTTGGTGATTTATTAAATGGCAAAGTCGAGGTGTATCGTGAGACATTTGTTACTGTTATTGCTAAAAAATAAAAAGGAGAAGGGGAGGGGGGGGGTGGGGGGGGAATCATGGTAATAATAATAGTATTGATAATAATAATAATAATAATAAAATAATAAGACGAAGAGCCAGAAGAAAAATTGAGAATAACAATAGAATAATATTAATTAACACAAATAAAAAGAAGAAGAGTGGGGTGTAAGAAAGGCCAGTTCTAACCTCAATGAAGACAAACCTGTATGGTACGGTACACATAGTGAATTGGACTGCACGATGGTTTTCAAAAATGTTACCGGGCTCCATATCTGACAGATAAATCCAAAAAAAAAAAAAAAAAAAAAAGAAGAAGAAGAAGGAAAAGAAGAAGAAGAAGAAGAAGGAAGAAAAAGAAGATGAAGAAGAAGAAAAAGAAGAAGAATAAGAAGATGAAGAAGAAGAAGGAAAAGAAGAAAAAGAAATAGAATAAGAAGAAGAAGAAATAGACGAAGAAAAAGAAGAAGAAGAAGAAGAAGAAGAAGAAGAAGAAGAAGAAGAAGAAGAAGAAGAAGAAGAAGAAGAAGAAGAAGAAGAAGAAGAAGAAGAAGAAGAAGAAGAAGAAGAAGAAGAAGAAGAAGAAGAAGGAGAAGGAGGAGAAGGAGAAGAAAAAGAGATAAAAGGTCGATACGGGAATATCCTATCTACTGGAGAGGCCTATAATATTGTAACCAATTATCAGTCATGTCACAGTGTACTGGACAGTAATATTTCGGTGTATTTCATATTGTTTCCTGGATGGTTGTATGCACATTATTATCTTTGACGAATAAAACAAATGAAAAATTCAATCATAACAAAAGCGAGCTGAATGAATGAATGAATTTCTACCTCACCAGGACATCACACAAGCGATAAACACCCAATGACACAAAGTGCCACCATGTGGGTGAGGATCACCGTGGAGAGGTCCCAGAAACCGCGTTCAGACAATTGGCCATATTTATGGTCTGCCTATATTGCGGCCCCTGGCAAAAGCCAGAGTGGGGCTTCAAATAACAAACAATTACGTCCCGAAAAGGACGTAATTGAACAAAACACTCTCTAATTAAAAGGGATATTCAAACAAACATGCACACTAAAAAAATTAATACCTGTTTTTTTCCCAGCTTCTCTATTTCTGTCTTCTGAAAAAAAAAAAATTTAGAATTTGAATGCCGCTTGAGAACACTCTTTTACTCTTTCTACGTGATTCTAACTTTGCTTGGTATCATATTTACCGTGTTATATCAAATCACAATAATTCCGCCAGCATTGAGATAACGTCATAACAGGTTGAAGAAATGTTTTCCCAAATGATAATATATAAATTTATTGCTCACATTATATAAATGCGGGCATTTCACAGTAGGCAGTGCTATTTGATATCTGTGAAAAACCAAATGTCCTGCTAGCCGTGTTGATACGATGCAGAGAATTTATTATCCATTTCAGACCCACACGCTCGCGCACACGAACTCTCATGCACACAGACACACAGACACTCTATTTATCAATAAATGATGTGATGAAAATGACTTATAATGGAAGAATACTAAATACAACAGCAACTACAACAATAGAATTAATAATGATAATAATCGTTAGTTTTAAATTTTGACAGCCCCTGTCTCGTCGGTTTTGAGATTTCATAGGGAATTAAAAAGCTAGGATTAGGGCTAGTGTTAAATGAACTACTATCCTTAACCCCAACTTAGCTATACTGTGGGACGCTCTGGCCATTAGCCTACACAATCTTCAAGCTGATAAGATGCGGACGTATACAATTAAAGTACCTAATAATCCTCTTCTTCGTTCATTCTTATTGGTTTTTCCTTCTTCTTCTTCTTCTTCTTCTTCTTCTTCTTCTTCTTCTTCTTCTTCTTCTTCCTTCTTCTTTTTCTTTTTTTTCTTCTTTCTTCTTCTTCTTCTTCTTCTTCTTCTTCTTCTTCTTCTTCTTCTTCTTCTCTTCTTCTTTCACCTACCTTCTGTACCGCTTCGGTGTCGTAGGAAATATAAGGTTCAGGTCACATCTTCTGACAGCCTCAGCCCTAAACACCGAGCTATTGTAGAGTTTCTCTGATGTCACTTTCCCAACTTGTTCTTGATCTGGCCATAAATCTTTTCTTTTGTTGTTGCTTTGCTTTGTATGGTATGCGGTCGCAATGTAATCTCTCTACGTTAGACAAACTAATTTATTTGTCTTTATGTGTAATGTAGAATTGTTTGCTAGTCCGACGAATTCTCTTATGAGTTTATTCGTGACGTTGTCGCTTCTGGGTGCCGCTGCAGGCTTTCTAAGACATCCCATATCTATGGTTACTAATTTCTTTTCTTGCTGTTGCGTGTGACAGCATCTGGAACTACTATACTTCCAGTTCTGCTTCCTTCTTTCTATTTACGCTGCTTCTGTCTTTTCAGTGTTGATTCTCACATCATTTTTTTTAAATGTTTCTGATTCATGGATGTGTGTTTTTAACGAGTGTATCAGTTAGCAAGGCCTAGTCTATAGTCAAGAGTAATTCCTTGATGTTAATATTTTCTTTCTTAGTCTTGGCATCTCGCTGATACTGTCAACGTATTTGATAATCAGGAGTGATGGTGATAATACTAATTTTAAAAGTTAAAGTTAATTCATAATCTTTTTAAATCACGACTGATAACTGGCATCATGAGGGCCAGTAGACTGAACTGGCAGGGGCATTTTGAGAGAATGTCCGATGACAGAGAGGTAAAAACGGTATACACATGGAAGCTGAATGGTCATAGATCACGAAGCAGACCGAGAAAACAATGAAGAGACAATATCAAGATAGAACTACAAACACTTGGTATCACAAACTGGAAAGAGAAAGTCAACCACAGAGATGAATGGAGGTGGGTGATATCTGCAACAATGAACCACAAGGGCTCGGAATGCTGAAGACGTACAGTGTAAAGGACATCTTACAGTAAAGTGTTGATATTTCTCGACACATCCACTGTAATGGAATTTGTTTTAATAAAACTAGTCTTTAGAATATCACCCCATAGATTTAGTAACAAGAAAGAAATATGTTTCATAATGACTTCACGCAAATGCAACACTAACTTCTATGTGATATGTCGACCCCCAGTATATGATAACGCTAAGATATATTAGAAAGACTGTGCAGATACTTACTTATAATGTTTAGTGTTACGTTACGAGCAAAATCTTCTTTTGTGCTGATCTGGCATTCGTATGTACCCGCGTGTTGAAAGTCCACGTTCGTTATCTGAAACATTGTTTTTTCAAGATTAATAAAAGTTTAGAAACAACTGGTACTATTTTACATTCATCATCATCATCATCATCTACTTCGGCATGCGGGACCACGACGTTTATTGCTTTAGGATTGGCTGCTTCGATATTATTTATCCTTGAACTTTCCAGGGTCGTTGTCTGCTCATATCCATCCAAATTTGAGATACCTATGTCGGGACAAAAATAGGTTGTACAAGAGTGCGGGTGTCGGTCCTACGCTTCTCCCAGCAACTAAAAGGATCACGGTGTCGCTTATTGCACTCCACCATTTGATCTGTGTGTGTTCTGGGGCCTCCTTGTAGGGAAGACTAGAATAGACCACTGTCTCTCCAACAAGCATGTCGTAGGAGTCGACTAATTGGAGGCTTCCTTCCAGATCGGAGAGCATCTGTCTAGCGGTAAGGAACAACCAACTGCCCAAAAATAAGCCAGTAAAACAGACACACGTGTTATTTAAATAATAATAATAAACACCATATTTAAGTTATTGTCGCATCGTACATATTCATGTGGGGACAACAAGAGCAGACTAGCTGCCTTCCCAACAAGCATATCGTAAGAGTGGACTAGCTGGGTCTTTCTTTGAAGTTGGAGTGATCTAAATGAGAGGCACGGAAACAACAGTCTGCATACAAATAAGCCAGAAGTGTTGAACTGGTGCTCAAGCTACACAAAGGTCTTGGAACAAGACAAAACCCCAGAGGTGGATAAACAACTGGAACTTTCCGCTGGAGTTTACAACTGGTAAACACGAAGAAGACAAGCAGAAGTAAAGGGCATATTATGCTAGACACACATTTGCATAGATTAGTTGCACTATGATGGTGATGTAGTCAATATCACACCGGCCGCCTTTAGTTCATAGGACATTGTCTGGTACCTATTTAGGCTGGGTCGACCTCGGAGCCATGTTTATATTTGAAGAAGCATCCACTACGATACGGATTCGGTCCTAAGACATTCTGGCCGCTAGCAGAGCGGCTGGCAACTAAGTGACTGCTATTTGTGTGCTCTATTTTTGTGATACATATTTTAATATATATTCCCCTCTCCCCTCCCCACACAGCCTGGATTACAATCAGACTGATACAATTCGGGGGAAATCCCGTTTAACCGTATAGCCTTGTACCTCACAGTTATACTGGGGCATCACAAAAATCCCAAGAAGTAGCCTATAGCCAAGTGTGGGACTAAGTAAAATCCCATTGATCTCAGGGTGGTTAAAAATAATCTCAGTCTTCCGCCGATAAGGACGATGAACTGAGAGGTTGTGCAAGCATTCTGTGCAAGCCGAAGATTCTTTACCTTACACTCTGGTTATTTGCGTATCCTTTACAGGACGTTGCAGAACCACCCGCAGCAGCCCCTGGTTGTTGTGTGGTTTCTCTAGGCAAATTTACGTCCAGTAGTTTGCCATTGCTTTCTGGACTGTCGGCCCCCTGATACCACTGTCGAAACCAAAGCAAGATTCATGGCCCGAAGCTGGGATCGAGCCCATCACCCCGGCATTACGAATCGTTCGCATCGACTTAGCCACAGGGCCGACTCACCTTACACACACATATACATAAAGTGTAGGCTGCATTTGGCAGCGGCCCTAGCAAATAAATAAATGTTAAAAAAAAAAAAAAAAAAAAAACGTAGGTTACGCACCGTATACAGTAGATGGTATGTAAATCTCATGTATAAATTAGAAAACAAATTAACTTTATCCACCATTTTCACTATCTAAAAATGAGTGCGCGAGCTAAAACAAACTATACGTCATATTTCTTGTCTCCCCTGAGCTGCTGCTACCGACCCTGGGACTTCAAGATTGTTCTTCCCTACAGCTCACTGATTCAGGCTGTAGACCAGTGTTGAGGTTTTCTGTATTCTTTTGCGCTTCTTGGGTGGGTCGGGTGATAATGTGTTTATTTTGCAGGTTTCAGCTACATCACTCAAACACATCTATCTTGGTCTTCCTCTCGCCTTCCTTCTAGTTGTTCTGCTGTAAAGTCTCGTATGCAGATTGGTCTGGCTGCATTCTCACTAGATGGCCGAAAGAATTCATTCTTTGAATCTTCTATATTAATAAAAATATTAATTTTCCGATGTTGTTAGCTAAAAACTCGAAAACTACTGAACCGATTGTTTTCAAATTTGCACACAACGTTGCCTTTGACTCCAAGAGTGATTTTTTTGTCAGAATATCGCACAAACCACGAACGACGTAGCTTCAACAACGGTCCAATCATTATTTGTTTCGTTGCCGGCCCGGATTTGTTTTTAGTTCATTGGCCACATTTGACTGCTGAGCTCTTATTGAACTTTGCATTATTATATAATTTCATTTCCAGTATTTGCTTAAGTGTTTGGTAGCGTAGTTGATAGCTATTTTGCCCATCATGCAGGTGACCCGCGTTTGATTCCCTGCTAGGTGATATAATTTTTTTAGCCCTTAACTGGGTGGCTGGCACGTTGTGTTGTGGTTTATGGCTAGGCTGCGATATCTGACCTAAACTCTTTAGTCGTCGGTAGTATAGTTGTAAGTATATCATCCTTCACGTGGGTGACCGGTGTTCGATTCCCTGCTAGGTGATAATTGTTCTTTTGCCTTGAAAGGGTGGTTGCCACGTTGTGTTGTAGTTTACAGCTAGGCTGCGATATCTGCGCCTTTCGCAAAAAAGATATCCGATTTCAGTTGTCCTAATTAGCCTCCCCGCGACGCTTCTCGATCAAAAACTATTCGGCGATGACAGAAACTGTTAACTAAGACGGCTTACAGTCCAGTTTAGTTTGGGTGGACACGGATGCCAAGGTCCGTTAAAAATTGTTTCCTCGGAAAGGGAGAGATAACGGGTGCGGGTATTTTTCTCCGCTATTCGTGAGTATAGTGTATTTTTCACTGTGGGTTCCATCACTGGTTACGTGATGAAGTTTTTTTCTTCCTATGTCCAGGGCAAAATCAAACTAAATAGTCTGTGGCGACAGCATGCGGCGCTAACTCCTCTTTTTTACACCGACCTACACAGTCTATAGTGACAGTTTTTGTTGTTGTTGTTGTGATGGTGGTGGTGGTTGTGGTTGCAGTAGTACTGGTACTGGATGGGTGGTGTGGTAGCTGTTACACTGGCTACATTTACTTCTCTGTACAAGTTGATGCTACCTATTTAAGTCTGGGTGGTCACGGATGCAATGCTCAATTTAGTTACAATATTTCGTTACACGGTGACTTTCCCATACTTCGGAAAAAGATATGATTGGGGAAGGAGGGTGGGTAGTTTTTTTTCCCAGACACAGTTAGCTGAGAGAACTTAATATTTTATTTTAAAGTTTTCATTTCCTAACTATTTCTATTTTAGTAATTTCGCCAGGTGATGATTTTTCAATCCTTCGGAGAGGGAGATATAATAAGGGGGGGGGGGGGGGGGGGTTATGCCGGACACAGTTAGCTGAGAGAGCTAATAATATTATTTTAAAATTGTCATTTCTTAACTATTTCTATTTTAATAATTTCGGTATGGATGATTTTTCAATCCTTCGGAAAGGGAGATATGACTGCGTCGAGGGGAAAGGGGGGGGGGCGGGGAGGGGGGGGGGGGGTATGACAGACACTGTTAACTGAGAGCTATTTTCTTTCCTCTTCATTTCACTATTCTGGGCCACAGCAAGGCGTGGCTGGGTACAGCTAGTGTAAATAAAATTAAGAAAGGGTCTTTTCTGAACGTTCTCTTTCATGCTGGTATTCCTAACCCTATCCCTTCCTGTGTTGTTAGCACCTTGAGGAGACAGTACATTTCACGTATAGTTATTTTCTTTATTTTCCATGTTTGGCACTGATACCATAAAATAGGGACGAAGGTGCTGTTAATTATTTGCTGTTTTGTTAAAAAGGAGTCATTTGGGAGGTCTAAGTATTGGGGCTAACTGGTAGGTGACAGAATATGGCTTATGTACTTTGGCTTCTATCTCTCTTTCCAGTCTGTCTTTCGAACCTGTTATCCTCGGTAAATATGTAGATGTTGAAACGTCAACTTACGGAAACATGATGAGATGTGGAGCAATATGTAAAAAAAATAGCATCCTACATGTCTTTAGGCATTCCAACGCCTTTTTCAAACGCATAAAGCGTGAACAATATTTAATTGTTAGAAATATCAATTTCAACAAATAGAAATCTGACTTTTAAAACGAAAAATATCTAGGCCACAAAGGTGCTTTTTCGTGTAAAATTATCTCCCATTGTTCGTGACTGTGCATCAGGGCGTAAAAAAAATGCTAAGCTGCACAGTCCGTGGCGACAGCACTAGCATACGGCCCTTAATCCTCAGACTCAAAGACCCCTGCCTTCACCGCAACAGTTGTGAAACGTGCAGTGATATGGAGGAAGAGAAATCGGATATAATAAATCCATTTTTGTTATTCATTTAGTTTATTCTACCAGGGACCCCCTAGTGTTTGTGTGTGTACATGTGTGTACGTGTGTGTAAGTGTGTTTGTGGGTTATTTGTTTTTTTCGACTCCATAATATTTATTAATTTTATTCTGGCATTCAGAACACGTTTCGCTCTAATGAGACAGTTTCTGACTTGTAGTTAAACCGGGTTATTCTTGCATTCAGTTCCACAGCTCTCGTGTGGTTGATCACACAGTATATCATCATCATCATGTAGCAGGTCCTTTGCAGAACGTCGCTCTCATCACAGTCTGCTTGAAAGAAACTCGGTCTCTTGCCAGTTCTCCTGCCTCATATACTTTCATACTCAAGGAGTCACTTATATCCTGTGCCCATCTTCGTGTCGGTCGACCCCTGCCCCTCCTTCCTGGCACCATGCCTTTTGCTATAGTTTTTTTCCAGAATATACTCCAGAGAAATGTCAGTATCGCAGCAAATGTATTTATTATTTTTGAGAGGTTTTCTTTCTTTCGTAATTTAATATCTTCTTCTTTCTTTTGTCAATATCAGCTCACGCCGCTAGGGGTCGCAGTTCATCAGACGATCGGCAGCCGAGCCAGGGCGCGCTCAGTCGCATGATATGCCGTGATGTTATGCAGCCTCAGGGTGTCACGAACTCCTTCAATACATATTCTTCTTGGTCTTTCCCTGCCTCTTGGTGTTTCGATTTTCAGTTCGTACACTTTTGCTGCTGGCATCGTTGGTTTCATTCTCATTAGGTGGTCAAACCATTTCATTCTTTCTTTCTCAATAAATGTAACGATCGGTGTTGTTCCAAAAGATCTTGCGATCACGTCGTTTCTCACTTAATCTCTTCTGTTTTTTTTTTTTTTTTCTTCACTGCGATTTTTAAACATCTCATGTCACAGGTGATTAGTTTTCTCTCAGATTTTTGTGTGTGCCCACTTTCAAGTCTGACACTGGTAACCTAAAGTCTGTATAAATAATGTATTTATAATTTGTCATTGTGTCTCTATTGGGATAGCATGGCGTGTTAAAACTGGAACAAGCTGGTACGTGATACTGTTGGCTTGTTGGAATCTCGTTTCTATCTCTGTCTATTTTACCAATGTGTATAATTTTTTATGCGGCGTCCGTGGCTAAGGCGTTGCGAGTCTGATTCGTAATCCGACGTACCGCGATCGAAACCTGCGTGGGCTGCGTGGATTTTTGTCGTGGTATGGGACGTCGCAGGTCGACCCAGCCTCAAATGGGTACCAGGATGGGCTGTCCTGGGAAAGTAAAGACGGCCGGCGTAATGCTGACCACATTACCCACCGAGTGCCGATTGGTCTGTAAAAATATGGGTGCTTTTTCCATATGCCCGATGCGCCTAAAGGAGTGTAAAGAGATCTTTACTTGCTCACTATAATATACGCTACGTAAATCTCTAGCGGACAATGAAGATTTCTTGAAGTATTTTTCAAAGTGATAATTTGCTACGAAGAAACATTCGCAAGGCCAGCAGTTTGAAATACGCCGACCAAATTATGCAAAAATGCCGTGTCATTCTCTAGTTTCGCCTGTCTTAATCCGAACATATTTCCCTCACAGATTATAATGCACATGTGTATAGTCAAATAGGTCTTTTTCTTAGAAATCAAGCCTTATATGATCCCACTACCTATATATCTGCTAATTGTACGCGTCTTTGCAAATTGTAAATGTTTACGCTGCATATTTATGGCTGTTGTAAAAGTTTCCAGCAATCGTCTTCAACATCACATTCCTCTGAATGTAATACATTTTACAGCTTGTTTATAGTCCGGCTCTCTAGCGTAGATGGCTAAACCGGATTGCGCGGTGACCGGGTGACGAACTCCTTGTGGTCCGGGTTTAATCCCGGGGGTAGGCAGAAAAGCCACATTTCTCCCAGATTTACGGTATTTAGAATGGAATCAAGGCCGAAAGGTTGCGATATCCATAATACCGAGCCTAAGGGTTAACAACTCATGGCTTCTGGATACTAAAACAAACAAACAGCTTGTTTACTAATCGTCTAGTTAACACAGCCATATCATCATCATCACCATGTGCCGTGCAAAAAAAAAGTGTAGGCTGTCATGTTTCGCCATCTAATACAGTCATCAGAATCATGGATCAGTACAGTGTTTAATACAAATGGCACATTAATTATACTGGCTCTATGGAAACAGCAAGCATTCCATGTGATCGACCAATTACAGGGATTTAATTTGTTAACTGTTATCTTTACACAAATGCGTTGTTCCCTCCACCCAGTTTGTTTGATACCTCCTTTGATTCTATTTTAAAGTGTAGTTAAATATTTTAAAGTCTGTGCTTTGTATGTCCCAAAATACTACCAATGTGTTCAGTATGTCTACTATTTGACATCGTTGGCGTTGTAAATTTCTTGGCTAGCTAACTCTGTACTTTTTTTTTAAAGACTTAATCTGTTGTGAATTCCAATCGATTTGATTTTTTGCTGATATTGTTCAAGACAGTTTGTTTGTTTGACTGCCCACTTGCATGCTTGTTCGTCTATTTGAGTTTACTGTTCATTTGTTTTGTCTATCATTCCTCGCGTCGCATAACATTCTCACGTTTATCAATGCACAATAAGAAGTAAAAGTGTGTATTTGTGTGCGCACAGGTGTGCATGCTTGTAAGATTCACTTCTGCTGCTGTTTCCACTTGTGCCATACGCTGTCATTTATACATGTAATGTATTGTACCGTATTTGTTGTTCAAATTGTTCAAATACAACCACGACAAAGATAGTTGCTGGTTTTGACCAACTATTCCTTCTCCTCCTCTGCATAATATAGCTACCACAAAATCTGCTATTAGTAGTAGTAGTATAGTAGTATTAGATTCTGCTAGCAGCAGCAGCAGTAGTAGTAGTAGTAGCAGCAGCAGCAGCAGAAGCGGCAGCAGTAGTAGTAGTATCCCTATTATTTAATTTCTTAAATAGTAAACAGCTAGTCCAATAAAACAGCTTATGTATGTCTTTTTATAACCTGAAATCTTTCACAGCAGATCGTCAGTTACTGGCGACAATAAAAACAACAATTCTTCAGCAGTAACTCCGAATCCAATGAATACACTTTTAGTGGTTTTCAAGCATTCTTGAAACAGAAATCAGAGTAAAGTCCAAAAAGACCCGAAATATTTAATCCTAACGGTGGACAGTGATGTCCCCTTCAGTACGGAGACAGTAATATAACCAGCTCCTCGTAGGAACAATCAGTAGAGGTACTTTTGAGTGGCTGCTGCATTGTCGTCGAATGTCTTAACATAATCTAACATAAACTATGACAACACTGATGAAGAGAAGAAGAAAAAAAAAAAAAACTAGCACATAGATAACCAATATTTTATAGTAGTCATTATCAACGGGCAAAAAAGCAGACCAATTAAACAACTGACAAGGTCAACAGACGTCAGAACTGTGTGACATATAGCTGTCTACTATTGGCAGTTTAGTTATTATTAGAGACGTCTTTGAAAATATAAACACTGATCGAGTAATGCTACAGAACGCATTTGTACCTGTAAGTTCCATCGAGGGTTTTCATAACCAATTCTTTGGCTGTCGATACTGGCCATCTGAGAGTCCATGTAAGGATCTTCTCTGGTGATAGAATATCGATTGTCTGGATCATAGACGTACTCTCCTATTGTTATCGGACTGGACTTGTTGACTTTCTTCCAAATTACCTGTTCGGATCAACAGACAAATGATAATATTTCAGTTAACACAAATAATTCTTAGATATTATTTGAATATTAGGGCGGTTGGTGGGGGGGGGGGGGGGGGGAATAAACACAAAATTACAACATGTGATGAGATGGGATGGTAAGAAATGCGGCGGGAAAACAAAATTGACACATCACCAATAAAGAACTAAGGACAATAGTAGTAACCTACCAGTGAATTTTGTTTGGTCACTTGGTCAAAAGAACAAACAGCAGGCGAAAAGGAAAAGGCCAACCAAGAAAGAGATGGGTGGAGGAAGTAACACAAGCCATACAATAGGCAAATTACCGGAAACTTCTCTGTGACGATTTGCGGCATAAACTGTAGGCCAAAAGAAGAAGTTTAGAATATGTATACAGAAGAAGTTTAGAATATGTATATAGAAAAAGTTAAGGACATGTATACAGAAGAAGTTTAGAATATGTATATAGAAAAAGTTAAGGACATGTATACAGAAGAAGTTTAGAATATGTATATAGACGTTTAGAATATGTATACAGAAGAAGTTTAGAATATGAATACAGAAGAAGTTTAGAATATGTTTACAGAAGAAATTTGGAAAATGTATACAGAAGAAGTTTAGAATATGTATATAGACGTTTAGAATATATATACAGAAGAAGTTTAGAATATGTTTACAGAAGAAGTTTGGAAAATGTATACAGAAGAAGTTTAGAATATGTATATAGAAGAAGTTTAGGAAATGTATATAGAAGAAGTTTAGAATCTGTATGTATATATATATATATATATATATATATATATATATATATATATATATATATATATATATATATATATATATATATATATATATATGTATACACACACATACACGCACACACACACACATATATATATATATATATATATATATATATATATATATATCTTGCATTGGTTGGTACTGAAAGAGTAATGTGGTGGTGGTGGTGTTGATGATGATGATTCGTTCCCCCTATTTCTGCTTCCCACTTGCAAAAACTAAATTAAAAGTAAACGACCCTTTTCCACGCTATCAGGGGTATAGGGCTTATAGAGACAGGCCTATATTTTTATAGACAAAAACTCACTCGGTGGTTGATGCAGTCAACATTAAGCCGACCGCCTTTACTTCCCATGACTTGACCTGTTACCCACTCATAGCTGGCTTGACATAAGAGCCAAGATTATTTTAATAGAAACACAAATTTGCTGTTTGCTTCGGACTCGAACCAGCGACCTTCAGACTCGCAGACGACTATCTATCTGCTACCCATGGCGGTTCGAACCACTTGCAAACATGTGTCATTAATTCTCCTTGACAAAAATCCTGACTAACCTGTTGAAGTGTCTATTTTTTTTAAAAATTGAATGTAATATTCCACAGTGTATTCTTGTTACCATTGCTGACAGTCACAGGTTATCTATATGCATGTCTAAGCTAAAGGTGAATGTTTGATGACTGTGGACATTTTGGAATCAATTATTTGCGCACTGTAATTAAAAGTGTGTGTTACGTCACGTATCAAGCGCCATGTAACCGTCAGTTTAGAATATCACTGCTATGTACACTCTTGTTTTAGTAATTGCCTTACCTTTAATCTTGTTAAATATTGAAGTAAGGGTATTTTTTGGTTGAGCACGTGTTTCCTTAACCTTGGCAAGTATTCGAATGCGGTTGTTCAACAATTAGGGCTAGGCGCTGACGCTGTTTGGAGCCGAGGCAAATTTTTTGCTTCTACTAGACGCTGTCCGTTGCATTTTTTTGCTCCACTTGTAGACTGAAAGAATATAGTTTCGTCGCCCAGCTTCTTAGTTGAATGCATGGCGTGACACTATGAGCTGCGGTGGTGGTGTGAATTCTAAATTTTTTTAAATGGCACGATGCCTGTTGTCGGAATGTTGGTGGTGGCCTTATGTGATTAAAATTAATCGCGTGTGCAACTGCTGATCTGTTGGTGACTTCTCCTACCATCAATGATGAACTGCATTTCTAATGTCGGACTGTTTGTGTTAGCACTTCGGATGGCTACCCTATGCTTTTAATGCGTGTGTATGGTCGATATGATGAGACAGCAGTCTGTCAATCTTTCGACAAGCGACTGTAATAAACATTCTGTGTGTTTTTCGTTGGCACAGGAGCGAAGCAACTATGTGGTGACACGTTTGCTATGAAGCTGAAACTAAGACTACCAGACTACCAGATCAAAAATTAGGGATATCATTTGCTGATACCCAAGAGCCGCATCCGAATACGTTTAGCAAAATTTAAACAGTAGAATCGATAATGAATAGAGCTGTAATGTGGGAAAACAATACCCAAAATAAGACACACTACAGCAATAATAAATGTTGCATTAACTCCACGACGAAAATTAAAGTAGAATAAAGTAAAGATCCCTTTTCACGCCTTCAGGCAAATAGGGCATACTGAAAGAGCTCCCATGTTATTACAGACCAATCGGCACTAGATGGGTAATGTGGTCAGCATTACGCCGGCCGTCTTTACTTCCCCAGGACAGCCATCCTGGTACCCATTTAAGGCTGGATCGACCTGCCTCGCCCCATACCATGATATAAATCCAACAACGATAAATACATAAACAGGAACGGCAATATTTTTCGATAAGAATACAGCCATAAAAAAAATGCACTCTGTGTTTTCGTTACGTAGATTGTGCATGCTGATTTATTATTTCTTCTCCTTTTGCTAGCGAAACCTTGTTGTCTGTTTAGTTGATGAGGGCTATTGATTTCCGCAAAGCCGAATCCCGTTCTTCTCTATATCTGTTTGAATATGCTCTCTGAATACATAGTGAAAGGGCACAGAGATATCCTATTTTGGTGTCTCACATTATGTTATATATCATTTTGGTTATGAAAGGATAATTTTTTTAAATTGTTTTCTGTATTTCTTATTCAATATGATCAGCGATATTTTATGAATCAGAGACTGCGATCATACACTTTGAAAGCTGGCCCCACTAGATTTTAACCTGGCAAATCTAAATGACAACATTTTACATGTATTAAAGCCTTTCTCTCCGCTGCTTCGAGATACCAGCTAAGTGATTGTTTGTATTTGTGTAGTATTGTTTTATTTGTCTATGTGCTGATGAAGGCTGCATAGCCGAAACGTTCACTTTTTGTTTGTATTTGTTCTATTGTGAAGCGTGCTAATATAGTTTTCCTTCGGTTTTATATCTTTTCTTGAGATTTCTCCCCACAAGACTGCCCTTCTGTGTCTTCGTCCGTCCGCAAGTTCATTCACCATTTTATTTTGCTCCTAGAATTGACGTTAATTGCATTATATGGTTTCAATGTCCATATTTTACCAATGGGCTTGGCAGAAGGGTGTTGGGTCTAATTAAGCACAGTTAAGGATCTTTTCCACGCCCACAGACGAATTGAGCACATAGCTCTAAACCAATATTTTATAGACAAATTGGTAGACGGTGGATGATGTGGTCAGCATTACGCCGGTTGCCATTACTTCCCAGGACTCCGCCCGGTACCCATATAAGGCTGGGTCGACCTGGTAGCCAAGGCAAATGTTTTCAGGGTGTTTGTGTGTGTGGGGGGGGGGGGGGTAAAAAAAATCTGGTACCGCCAGGACTAGAACCCACGACCTGTCAATCACCCTGATTGAGAAGGCCGTTTTTTTATTTAATCCTCGGATCGAAAATGTCAGTCACCTTATTACAGTTTTGAACTCATGTTTACCGAATGAGAGACTAGCTCTAACCGCTTGGGCAGCTGCTCCTTATGTATAACCAATACGACTGATTGATATAAAATATCAGCACTTACTAGCCACTACTATTTTTGACAATTTTATGAATGCTGATATTTTATTGTCCTCCTGAATAAAACATGTTTACCATGTTTTATTGTTGCAGAGCTCAATGATTGCATCTTCTCCAAAGTCCCCTGGGGCTGCTATTGCTTCTATCATCAATATTTTATCACTACTGGGGGATTTTTGTCTCATCATATGGTCCGTCTATTGCTGTCTCTTGTTCTGATTTTGGAATAATAATTTATCGCTGTTAATAAATGCTGGCGCATTGTATAGCTTACATTTAAAAATGTTTATATTTGGTCGCTTTTTTAATGTGCCTTTTAATTTATTAGTTTGTTCATACCTGTCTTCATTCATTTATCATCATTTCATCATTATTATCATCATCATCATCCAATTGTGCTGGTTATCCGTTATGCTAGACTCGCAGTCTGTTCTTCCACTTTGTTTCTATCTCATTCAAAACGATCCCAAATGTAACTTTTTTCTCTCTCTGAGAACATAGGTCGTGCAAGCTATATGCAGGCGAAAAGGTATCGCTGGCTGAATGGTCTTCAATCAGAGTGTGTGTCTGCGATTGCGTCTGTGTTTGTGTGTCTGCATGTGTGTGTCGGTCTGTGCGGTTTTGTGTGTATGTCTGTGTGTGTGTTTGTGTCTGTGAGCGTATGTGCGTTTGTTTCTGTGAGTGTTTGTGCATGTGTGTATCTGTATGTATGTGTGTGGAACGTGTGTGTATGTGTGTAAATAGGTATTTATATGGCTCAATGGGTGTGTCTTTCAGTGTCTATGTGTGAACGTATGTGGGTGTGTATATACGCGTGTTTAAGTGAGTGGGTGGGCGTGTGTGTGGGTATTACGTGTGTGCATTTTCTAGTGTGTGCACGCATTTTACCACTCATGCTTGTGTGGGTCTTTTATATACAAGTGCTGTGTGAAAGACGGGTGTTTGGAAGGGCCGAATGTAAGACGGGCCTGCGTGCAAAATGTGTGACCCCAGTAACAAATCAAGTGTAAAATCAAAGTAATAAAAAGGGCATAGAAATACAAATACAGAATTTGTCATTTTTGAATCATAACACATTTCTTGTGTGGGTCCTGAGATCCTATTTTGGGATTCAGAGAGAAAGAATAGACCCACTGTCCCCTAATAAGCATGTCGTAAAAGTCGACTAATTA